TTTCATCTTTTCACGGTGTATAATTTACCTTTTCATCATTACTGTTTCATTAGAAACACCGACGCAGCTCACACTAGTTTTTAGCTAGTTATATCTCAGGATTTGCCTAGTTAATTTTGTGTGGAATATTCATGTACTGCAGCGAAGGTTCATAGAATTTCAGAGTGTTGCTAAAATTAATGTTGTGCATTCTTTACTTTATCGCTGGTATTTGTGAATATTCTGACATTGAAATAAGGCTAACCCTGAGTAAATGAGTCAAGATACATAGCAGTATTGTTAGTATGGAATTGAAAATGGTTTATTAGATATTTATGTACAAATTTAAGTATAAATAAGGTAACTCAGGTTGTTGAAAATTTGATGGATGACAGCCAAAACAGTGTTTAAAACAATGTATGGGTGGCAAAAAAAAGCAAAAGTTATCTTATTGTGTCTGTCACTATCTGTATAGTCGACTAATTTTTGGATATATTTTTGTTTTTAGCTTATCCGAGCTACCAATTTCATCAAGTCTGCTGTAAGGTTCAAGATATCTCTGGACCAGACTGTCCTTGAGCCTGATATCTTTCACCTAAACCCAAAGAGAAGTGATTCTGATTGGTTTAAAAGCATCATAAGGTGAAAAAATACCTTAAGTAGACCTCTTTACCTTGGACGCAATGTTTTCCCATTTCAGACCATGTGTTATTCTCTTGAGAATAAGATTTTTTTACAACTCACATGACTTGTGTCTACTCACATGCAGCTGTTAAACAAAGAAATGATACTCTAGGGAATGACATGTGGTCTGAAATAGGAAAACATTATGCCAAAGGTAAAGGTCTAATTTGTCAAACCCTGAAACATCTTCTGCACTGATCTAAATAAGGGCATGGCTAACTCACAAATCGAATTTGAATTTAGCTTCAATTGTTGGGATTTGTAGAGGGATGAAAATTGAAGAACCTGAAGAAAAAGACCCTTGAATCGAGGGAGAATTACAACAAACTATACTCGCATGCTGTATAATGCCTAATGTCCTGGAATCAATTCCAAGACCCCAGGGGTAAGTGCCTAGTGCACTACCTGCATGCCACACTTGGTCCCCAAGTAATAGTCTAGTCCTGACCAAGTGATGAGGTCTTCATTTATTTAATGTTGAAATGTCTGTATGGGAACCTGGATAGCATTAGTGGGTTGAGATCTTGCATCTTACCATTGTAACCTTGGATTGATTCATAGACTTGATGTTGTAAAATAATTATTATTTGAGTATATAGACTTGCTTGCTATTCTCTGCTGAGCTTGGAGGGTTTCTCTCTGGCTTCTCTAGTTTTCCTCTCTCCTCGAAGATCACCTTCCAAATTTCAATCAGATTCTGTGAAAGCAAAGCGGCTGTGTAGAACCACTGCTAAAGATTTCAAAGTACAAACCATAATAAAATGTAAGACAAAGTAGCATGACGTTTTTCTTGTTTAAGAGCAAGAAGAAGAAAAAAGCCAAAGGATATGGTAAAGGAAACAAGAAATATATTAATATGAATAATTTTTTTTTTATTTGTTTATGTTTTAATTGCAGGTTTGTTCCTAGAAAACTGTCGTGGTATGGTGCATTCTTGGCCAAGGCATTTCCTCTAGACATGAGTCAGTATAACAGGCTGTTCTGCTCTACCAGAATCCCTAATAAAGGAAAAGATAAACTGGCTACGTTTGAAGGAGCCAGGCATCTATTGGTAATGCATAAAGGACACTTCTATGTCTTCGATGTCATTACTACTGATGGTAAGAACACTGAACACTGTTACAATAAACCATGTCTTCAAAATATGCCACTTGCCTAGAGCCTTTACCAAACCTTTAAAAACCTTCAAGTTTTATCTACAGTATACCCTTAAACAACCTGTGGGCTGAGCAAAGTCAGGGCACGGCTAACTCACAGATAGAACCCTTAAACAACCTGTGGGCTGATCAAAGTCAGGGCATGGCTAACTCACAGATCGAACCCTTAAACAACCTGTGGGCTGATCAAAGTCAGGG